TCCCAGCTTGGAGGATTTGGGGTGCTGCACAGACATAGTCCGCTGCAAGGTGAGGGCACCCAGGTTGTGTCTGGGAACCTCTCATGGAACCCAGAGTTTGTGTGGCAGATGGATGAGGCCTCTTTTTTTAAAGACTATTATACAAATGTTATTGTGTGTTCTTCATTTACTGCAGACTCACAGACTATTCTAGACTTGGCCTGCTCTCTGGTAATTGCATCTACATTAAAGCAGACACCCCCACAGGGCTCTCCCTTGCCTTGTCCTTGCTGGCTCAGAGCTGGGCAGTGATACATGAGTTCTGCTAGACCAGGGATGTGCAAAAGTGTGCCCAGTAGCTGGCAAAGGTTAGGAGAAGAAGGCAGAGTTGTGCCCTATTTAAGGCCAGTTCTGTTTTGCTTTATTGCTCTTGGGCCGCTTGTTTGCTAACTATATGGAGTGCTACTAGTCCCTTCTAATCCATGCATCAATAGACCCACTATTCAGAGCTACATGCGACATCTCACCCATATCAATTATTGTGGGAGTGGGAGAGTGGGGTCTGGGAGAGCCGCTCATTACTGCAGTGGAAAGTTGAGAATTGAATATGGTTCATTGCAGCTCTGTGGTGCCATGGAGTGGAGGAGGGGTAGGACTCTGCTGTAACAGTTCCAAGGGTAAGCTATATTTAGGCTGCTGGACAGAGATTGTGTCATTCTCTCTAGCTTCCTAGCACACACAGCCTTCAGAGCCTACTTCCATTACATAGCATCCTGACATAGACAATAATAAAAATATAATATTTTGCACTCATAAAGCACCTTTCGTCAGATGATTGCAAAGTGCTCTGCAAAGGCAGGTAAGTTTTATTGTTCTCATTTTGCAGATGGAGAAGGTAAGGGACAGAGAGCTCTTGTGACTTGCCCACTGTCACAGAGCAAGTTGGTGGCAAACTGTGGACTGGAGCCTGAAAGTATTAATTCCCAGCCCCCTGCTCTAACCAGTGGGCAGTGCTGCCTTGTAGAATGGACTGCTGACTGCAGTGCAGCGGTGTGATCCTGCAGCAGATTGCCATTCATTGTGTTGAAATACTGCGTAGTGTATCGAGCCTGGCATTCTCCACAGATTTGGAGTCTGAATGTAGATACACCCAAATTCCCCGTCAGAATTCAGATGCCAGAAGGTTATTATGCATTTTCCTGCAAAAATAAACATGGGACCCTCCTTAGGCCTGCACCAAAACTGCTGAAGCCGGCACAAGCCAGTTTAATGGAGTGCTTCCAAGTATAAGATTGTGGGAGAAGCAAGTGATTAGTTGATTTAATGTCTTATTTTCGCCTGTTTCAAGAAGACCAGCTAGTAATATAACTGAATTCTTTCCTCCAAGTGATATCGTCATAAATCTCTGTCTCTTCATGCCCCCATCTGCTCACGCTTTCGGATAGTAACCAAACAGTACCTTGGGTGGGTGCTGCCATCCATCACTCACTCATGTTGGATGTATGGCCAGAGACGCCACAACAGGGTTTTTTCAAAAGCAGCGACTCTCCCCTGTGATTAGATAACACGGGGCTTGTCAACTGCAAGGTGTAGCATCCTTCACAGTCATGGGAGCCCATAAAGGGAGGACTGAAAAGAGAGATAAGGTCAGCTGTTTAGTTCCATAGCCTGTACGGTGATCACACTTTTCATGAAATGCCTTGTCCCTCCTCCATCCCCTGGTAACCTTTGTTGTTTGTGTGTCAGTCTCTCAGCTCTGGAAAGCTGGTGTGTTGAATGCCAGTGACTGAGCTTTGGGAATGTGCTGAAAAGTTGGGGAGCTTTTCTGTGTCTAGTGTTGGGGACTCAGCCCTGGGAAATATATGTACGGAAAGGTTATTGTGCATGTGTGTGTGTGTATGCACAGTGCTACAGAATTGCACTGAAAAGTTAGGTGAGCTTGTGTGGCCAATGCCAAGCTCTGGGGATGCTCTGCATGACCTTGTGAGCCTACAAAACAGTTATTTTCTCATTCTGAAAATGGTTGCATGATTTAGTCTCATTTGCTGTGGGTGTTTGAGATGTCATATGTCTGAATCTTTGATCTTGCCTTCCTCTCCTATTAATGGTCCATCAGGTTTTGGTACTTTTTCCTTCTGCCTGATGGAGTCTGCCCTCTGACCAGTCGGGTGCATGTCCTCTGCATGCCTCCAACCTCTGTTCGCTCCATTTATCTCCTTACTTGAGGGTGTGCCAGACCCTTATTCTGAGCCATCTGTCTGTCAAAGTGGAAGGGGATGTTTGCACTGTGGAGGCAAGAGGACACAATACTGTCCCATAGAAGAGCCCTGATGTTCTGTGGATGTATTTTACAGCAGTGGCGTCTCCCCAGTGCTAGCAGAAGCAGGACACATGTTTGCAGTATTATTAGCTAGAACTATTCATATAGCATAGTGATTCAAGAGTGTCCATGAGGAGAAAATCCCTTTCTCCTCCTGCCCTCCTCCCCAGCTAAAACATAGAATGGGGAATAAACTGTGATGTTAGTGATGGACTCTGCCATGGACAGGTGGGTACATGTTCAGGTTCATCAGGCAGTCATCAGAAAGGCTGGCAATTTGGTTACTGACTGTGGAATCCCACCCTCCCTCCCTGGTCTGACCTGACCTTGGAGAGTGGATTGAATGAATGCAGATAGGCTGAGCTGCCGCTAAGCATTAGAAGGATTTTGCATTCCAGTAGCGGCACGTCACTATCACTGTGGCAAGCCACGCCGTATTTGGGAATCTCCTTTCTCCGAGGTGCTGACTTGGCGACAGAAGGAGGAATTGATTTCAGAGAAATCTTCCTAAAGACAAATGAGTCTTAGGGGGTATTTTTTCCTTAAATGCAACCGTGTCAGACCAAGCACTTGATGAGACCCCTCCGAATATCAACAGTTATCTTGTGAGATGAAGGACATTGGGCCTTTGTGGAAGGGATCAGGGTGAACCAGCTTCTTCACAGTAGTACAATAGCTGCATTTTTGTGAAATTGCTGTAGGATAAAACTGCATAGTGCAGATTTCTATTTTCATGAATTGCTTCCTGCTTAGTGGTGGTGATGGGAAGATGATGTCTACGAGTTATCACCACCAATCAATGTGTGTCACTGAAGCTTGGCTCATAGGAGAGTTCTATGAGAATTGCAGTACCACATGTATACTTACACACAAACTGTGTGTGTGTGTGTGTGTGTGTGTGTGTGTGTGTGTGTGTGTGTGTGTGTGTGTGT